TTGCTCCTGGTGCTGGTTTCTGACAGGCAACAAATGCAGCTTCTGTTCCCAGCTATTCTCATCTTTTCTTAGTTCTGGTTGGTGGCTGGGTGTGTTCATGCCATGCTATTATCAAGGTTTCTCATTGTCCACATTTGTTCCCTGGTCAGTTTTCTCCCTGTAAGAGCCACTTTGCAGTGTCTGAGGCTGCCCTTTTTTTCCAGGGAACCCTCACAATTGTGCAAAGGGGAGGACTTCTCCCTCAGAGGAACTGAGATTTAGAAGCTGGGTCTTTTTAAATTTAAAATTGGTGATCTTGAAATCCAAAAGAGGTCATGAAGCAAATTCTCTTGGTGGAAGGGTTGTATCCACAGTGAGGATGGTGGGGCTGGGGGGACTTGCTGAGAAGCCAGGATGTTTTACAGCAGCTGTGTGTGTTTTGGGAATGTGCTGCTGCTTTTGGGATGTGGATGGGCAGCAGGATGGAAGGGGTAACAAGGTACAGAAACCCCCCACCTTGATTTGGAGGTACTGGACAAAAAACATCCTCCTTCCAGCAGCTCCAGCAGCATCACTTTTAATGACTGCCATTTTATTTCCCAGCTGCTGTTGCTCTCCATGGAGCCCCAGGATCAGCTGGACCCTGCTTTTGGTACCTGGTGGGAAGGAATGCAGGGCTTGGCTGGCCAGCCTGCCCCTGCAGTGGCAAGCTGAGTCTTTTCTGGGCAATAAACAGAATTGCACTTTGAGGGATTGAAGTCCTCTGCTCAGCAGGCTGATGATGATCCTTGCAGTTCAAGTCAGCTCTGGAGTGCATCCATTCAGTGAATTTGCTGGGGATATTTCTGCTCCCATTGCCAGCATAACAAAAGCTAATTTCCAGAGCTATAGCTGCCTTGGGCTCTGGAAAAGTGTGAGGATGAGTGAGTCAGGCTCTCATTAGAGTAATTATTCTTCTTGCTTGTTTGAAAGAACCAGCACTTCCCAAGTGTGTGTGTGTGTGTGTCAGTTTATGTCACAGTGACCAATTTTACAGTTTTTAAAAATAGAACCTCAATATTCCTGCCTGCTGATGTGTTTTTGTCGTTGGAAGCTGCAGGCTAGGATGTGTGCTACAAGAAGAAATCTAAAAGTGATGTTCTGCAACAAAATATTTCAAATACTTGAAGGGTAGACAGGGATGGCTCCTGCCTTTGCCTTTCTCCTGCTGTGTCTCAAGCCAGTACACTTTTAGATCACAGAAATTTGGGAATGCCAACCTTATTCCTGCTTTTGTTTTAGAGCTCAGTACTGGATCATCTCAAAGAATTACCCTGTAAGTCATGGTTTGGAATTCCCCAAAACCTTTTAGCATCCAGGGGAATAAGATCAAAAATGCTGTGATAACACTGGTGAGGATAGGAGTGTGCATGCCTGGGGTTCAAGAACTCTCCTGTAGCTATTCCTCTCTGATTCCAGTATCTGAGGGTATTCCCACAATCTGTCCTGACTTCTATCTGTTCCAGCTAGGAGTTAGTGCTCTGAGCAGAGCTGTGTCTTGGAGGCAAGGCCCAGAAGGATATCCCTGTATTTTTTGTATCCAGTCAAGCAGGCTGCCTCAAGGTGGAAGAGGCAGACTCAGAGCCAGCCTTGAGTGAGCCTGCAGATCCATGGCCAGGCGGAGGCCATTTGTCCCCCCGTGCCACAGGTGAGCTCAGAGGCCTGCTGACGTGCTAACACTCGCTGCTTTTCACTCCAGAAGGCCAGAGACTCCTACCTGGAGGAGAGGAGGCGACAGCAGATGGAGAGGGACCAGGCTTACGTGACCAAGAAGCTGCAGCAGGAGGGGTGCGTGTCCCACGGAGACTCGCGGCGCCGGCGGACGCTGCTGCAGAAATGCACGGCCCTGCGGGAGGAGAGGATCCAGGGCTTCCTGCAGGCCCTGGAGCACAAGAGAGCAGACTTCTTGGAGAGACTGTGTCCGGTGTCTGCATGACACAGGTGCTGGGCTCTGGGGAACAGCGTTCGGAGCGAGCGGCTGCTGCCCGCAGGGACCCGTCCTGCCGTGTGCAGCCAGGGCTGCTCCGTCCCGCGGGCCCTGCCCGGAGCAGGGCTGGCTACTGTGAACTCTCCTGGTCTGTGATGCTGCTGAGGAAGGTGGGGCCGTCCTATGTCACCTCCCTGCCCTGGTGACAGATACCTGCACCCTGCTGGGTCTCTGCTGCTGGGTCCTTGACAGGCCAGGTGTTCCGGTGACAAGAAGTTAACTGCAATGAGCCTCCTCCAGTTCTCTGATTGCTCCTGGACTGGCCCGGCCAGACCAGTTCAGTCCTGTTAAATCAGTCTGGGCTCAGGTTCTTCCCGTGGCTTTGCAGTAGGGAATCTTCTGTTGAGGTGTGCTCTGCTGTCCCATCAAGAGAGCCCTGCTTTCTGCAGGGAGAGGATTATTCCTGGTGTCGGGGACATTCCCTGCTGCCTGCTCACTGAGAGCATCTTGTCTTTTCCCCACCTGATTGCTGGGTGGAATGTATCCACTCCTGGTTTCCAGAGAGATAAAGGAAGGGTTCCCAGCCTTGCTGTAAAGAAAAAAAGCTGCTCCAAAGCTTCAGCAGAGCTGAGATCTCTCCTGAGCAGTGTGTGTGGGGAAAAGCCAGGTGCAGAAGGTGCTGGTGTTGGACCACGCTGACCTTGGGAAAGGCTCTGGGCAGGCAGGAAAGAAGGATTGGTTGGGAATGAACCTTCTCAGGAAGGAAAGGAAATTGGCTAAACACAGGTGATGGCTACCATATGCCAAACCCTCTGAGGGCGTTCCAGGGAATGAGGGTGGGCTTAATTCAGGAATTCAGTAGCCAAAGCCAACCTCTGACCCCCGCCAGAATGGTTCAGAAGGGCAGTTTGGCTGATACTGAAGGAGTGGCCAGAGCAGCTGTGGAGTATTACTTGTTCTCAGTTTCCATTGGCAGGGGGGTGGACAAGCTGATTCCCAAGGTTGTTTCCGTCTCTCATTCCTCCTGGTGTCCGTCCCCACGATCGAAATAACCGAAAATGTCTTGAATTTTGCTCCTGATGCACACACAGGTGTGGCATTACCAGCTGTTGCTGGGTTTGAAGTGTTTCTTCTTACCTCCAGGTGAAAACCACAAAAAATGCAGATTTAACAGCCTTGTAAGTGCTGCGCACTGAGCACTTGGCCTGTGATTGTGAAGAACTGTGTAGTCAAAGTGGGAATAAAGTATATTAATACCAAAGTTATTTAAAAAATAACCTGAATGTTTAAAAGTATGTAGAGCTGCTTATTTTAAGGTGTGATAAAGCTGGAACCCAGGTTGAATATAATATTTAATCTGTGACAGACTCCTCATGTGATTCCTGTTAGCCTGGGAATGATTTGAAGGCTATTTTTACAGTGTAAAGCAGTTTGCTGATTTACAAAGCCTGCCCAAATGAAGCTATGTGCAGGTACCACCTCTTGTGTAAGTAGCAAAGAGAATTTGGATAAAAATGGGTTGAGGTGACAAGAGCTGTTTTGATTTTAAACTTCTTTTGCTGTATTTTATTTTCTCCATGTTTCAGGAATCTGGAAACAGTGTACTCTCCATGAGATGGAAATTCTCCAGTCTGCTTTGCCAGGCTGATGGGGAAACTCTTCTACTCAAAGTATGTATTTTTGCCTTTAGGAAAAAAAAAGTTTTCTATTGTGTTACGTCTCTACAGGTGACAAAGCCACAGTGGTGGCTTTCCACAAAGTACTGGTCGTGTTGCAGGTGAGGTAAGTGAAGGATCTGGTTTATAAAATACTTCTATGGAAAGTTTGAATCCATTTTATACAAGGCATCACTGGAATAGGGGAGGAGAAAGAGTCCTTCAAGCAGTGGCAAAAGGTTCCTGTTACCTGACCTTGTACATTCCACCTACAACAGATATTCCAGTAAATTCAATTGCAGTTCTTTCCCCTGTGAGCCTTTGTTAGAGGGTAGAGATTAATTGCCCAGGCAAACTCCAGAGTTCCAGGAGTGCATCTATCCAGTGAATCTGTGGGAATAGAGCCACAGGCTTCTGTCAGTGAGAACAGAACCTCCACCATTCATTTATATGGGTTGAAGTTGGGAAAAATCAGCATGGCTGAAGAAGTGTGCGGCTGAGGTTTGAAAAGGCCTGAATTTACCTGGGCAGGGAAGGGGGGAAAGGCTGTTCCTTGGGGAAACTTTTTCTGAATGAGGTTGAACTGAAAAGTGGAAAGTTTAGGGCACAGTGAAGTGGTGATGAAGATCTTTAGCTGGATTTGCAGCACACGGGCTGTGGCTGTGCAGGTGTGAGGAATGTCCTCTCCTGGAAGGAGCCCAACTTCCCGAGTCACTTGGCACCAGCAGCGGGCACCTGTGTGAATTGATTTAACGTCATTTTATTGCTTTTTAACATGTTTCTCTCTCCTTCCAGCACCGCCGGCGCCTCTTTCGGATCCAGCTCTCCGCACCTCCCGTGTTTTTACAGGAAAAAAGGGCTCGGGGCGGCTCCCGCGGGGGCCCCGCGGGGCCGGAGGTGCTGAACGAACAGCTCCGCTCACCTGCGCGCGGGATCGCGGCGGGCCGGGGGGGGTGTTCCCCTCCTTCTTCCCCTCCCCGAGCTGCTTTTCACATCCCGAATTTTCACCTTTTCCTCCCCATTTTTCCTTCCACCCCCCTTCCCATCCCCATCCCCCCCGCGGGTTTCCCGCGCGCGCGCACGGAGTGGGGGGGGGGGGGGGGGGCGCGAATGGCGCGCGCGCCGCCCCCTCCGCGCCCCCCCCACGCTTGGCCCCACCCCACGTGACCCCCGCGGGCCAATGGGCGCGCGGGGCGGCGGGGATCCGGCTGGAACCGGTTGGGCCGCGTCCGGCTCTATATAAAACTTTATAAACACCCGATTCCAATTAGTGGGGTCGGCAGCAGCGCAGCCCGCCGGCTGCAGCCCCGCGCTCCGCTCCGCACCGCGCCCGCGGCTCCCCGCAGCTCCCCGCGGCTCCCCGCGGCTCCCCGCAGCCCAGCGCGCCCGGCTCCCCCGCCTCCCCGCGCCGCTCCCTCCGCCCCCTCACGCCGCGCAGCGCGCTCCGCTCTCCGCCGCACACACACGCACACTCACACACGCAGCCACACGCGCGGAGCCATGCCGAAGAGAAAGGTACGTGCGCTGCCGCCCCCGCTGTCCTCGGCCCCCTCACGGTGTCCTTTCCCCCCTCCCGGAGGCGCCTGTGGGAGGGGGGGCGGGACTACGCGTTCCCCCCCCGCCGCTCTCGGGTGGTAACGGAGCGGCGAGGCCTCACCGGGGGGGGCGGCGCGGGGCCCGGGGCCGGCGGGGCCGCGGTGCGGGAGGGGCCGCGGGCCCCGCCGGTCCGAACCGGTTGGTTTTGGCGGGAGGTCGGTGCTGGGGGGAGGGGAGCGCCGGTGTGGGGCGGGAAAGGGCGGGAAGCGGCGGCGGAGCTTTGCCGCCAAAACGGCGGGGGCGGGGGGGGGCCCGGCCGGAGGGGCGGCGGCGGCCCCGCACCGGCCCCGGGGGCGGCGGCGGCTCCCGCCCCGCCTGGGCCGCGGCGCTGCGCCGCTGTGCCCCGGCATCCCCGCCCGGGCCCGCGGGAAGGGCCGGGGCCCGCCGGGGGTGGGATGGGGATGTTCCCCTTGGGATAAAACAGCGGCTGGCGGCTGGGAATCCTGTCCATCACTGGTGCCTCCAACCTGTGTCCGTGTCCCCAGGCTGAAGGAGAGACCAAGGGCGATAAGGCCAAAGTTAAGGATGAGGTAAGAAGTTCAGTGTTTTGAGAAAGTTGGATCATCAAGTGTTTCTGTTGGAAGATGAGGTTTAACGTCATCAGAATAACTGAGGAGTAGGGGGGAGGGTTGGTCTCGATTCTGACTTTTCAAACTCTTAACTGTTTTTTAACCATGAGAAATCTCCTTTAACTGTGAAGCATCTACTCAACTGTCATTAGCTGTTGCTAATTTCAATGGCATAACCTCAAGTTTCTTGAGAGCACAGAAAAAGGGAAACGGGGGAACTGCCACCTTAATTTCTTAAAACTAAAGATCTATAATCATAATTTCTGGGGGTTTATATATAAATTATATATAGATTATGATTTAGAAACATAATTTTTGGGAAGAGAGCAAGTTTGTGAGACTTTGAGAGTTCATAATCCATGTTTCAATAGAACCGTTGTCCTTTTCCAACAGCCACAGCGGAGATCAGCGAGGTTATCTGCTGTGAGTATCCTCTTGCTGGGCAGAGCTGTCACAACACTTGCTGGTTTTACACATGACCACTGGGTGTGTAAATGTGTGTCAACGCTGGAGGTGAAAATTAGGTTCCTGCCTTAAGGACCTGCCCCATTGTGCTGCTGTGGGAGTGGTGAAATAATGGACAAACCAAACAGCTGCTGCAGTTTCAAATGTTTTTTTTTTTTTAATTTGCTTTCTTAGTGCTAAGCTATTTGGCCTGAATGTAATTTTAAAAAATAGTTTGTTTCTCTGGAGCAGGACTTGAACAAGGGCTTGGAGTTCCAGGACAATGGAATGGTTTCCCACTGCCAGAGGACTGGGATATTGGGAATGAATTCCTGGCTGTGAGGGTGGGCAAGCCCTGGCACAGGTGCCCAGAGCAGCTGTGGCTGCCCCTGGATCTCTGTGAGTGTCCAAGGCCAGGTTGGCTGGGGCTTGGAGCAGCCTGACAGTGGGAGGTGTCCCTGCCATGGCAGGGGTGGCACCAGAGGGGTTGTGAGGTCCTCCCAAGCCAATCCATTCCAGGAGTCTCTAACACAGATTTTCTCTCCCTTGCAGAAGCCGGCTCCTCCCAAGCCAGAGCCCAAACCTAAAAAAGCAGCTCCAAAGGTGAGTTGGGTCAGGGCTGTTTGGAAAGGTGGATAAATGGGTGATGAGTTTTGGCATTGCCTGGCAATAATAACAGCTAAAGAACCTTTGATTAACAGCTGTGCAGCGAGGAAATGGAGCTGCATAAAGCTGAACTAAAACTTGGAGATTTTACAGAATTTGCATAAAAAATAGCGAAGTGAAGGCTTCACACTTGGCTGTCAATCCCTTAACAAACAAACATGGGTGTCTGTGTTGTTTTGGGGCCAACACCCCTCGTCCAAGGTCTGTGGCTCAGATCTGGCTGCTGGGGGCTGACCGCAAACGTTGTCTTGCATTTCCAGAAGAGCGAGAAGGTGCCCAAGGGGAAGAAAGGAAAAGCTGATGCTGGCAAGGAGGGAAACAACCCTGCAGAAAATGGAGATGCCAAAACAGACCAGGTATTCCAGCAGCCTGCTGTGCACCAGCATTGATTCCTTTCCCTCTCGGACTGGGACAGGTCTTGGCTTGTGGCAAGGAGTGTTGCTTATGACACTTAGCACCGCGCGGGTTTTTTGTAAAGAGTTAAAGTTGTCTGTTTGCCAGGGGACGTTGCCACATGGAAGTTACTGTTCTTCTGTAAAGTTCAATTAGCAACTTCTAAGTTGTGCTTTACAGTGCAACAGATGTTAAATTTAATTTTATTAAAAATCAGAGCTGTGCAGCCCAGAGAGGATTTCTTCTTCTCAGGGTTTTGCTATGTAGAAAAACGAGTGTCCATTTTTTAATGTGTTGAGTTGTTCCCTTTTTCTCTTTCAGGCACAGAAAGCCGAAGGTGCTGGTGAAGCCAAGTAAAACGTGTGAATTTTTGATAACTGTGTACTTCTGGTGACTGTACAGTTTGAAATACTATTTTTTATCAAGTTTTATAACAATGCAGAATTTTGGTTTACTTTTTTTTAAGCTATGTTGTTAGCACACAGACCGCTTCATTGTTGTGTTCGGGGGGGGGGGGGGGGGGGGGGGGGGGCAATGGGGACAAATACCATTTAGTCTATTTCTCAAAACCTAAATTTTAATAAGAAAAGCTTTTGCCAGTCCCCCAGTTTTTGGAAGAAGGGCCCTTCCTGCAGGGAGGAAGAAGGGATTCCCCTACGTTGTGTGTCAGTTACGTCCAAGTGACCATCAGAGCTCCCAAGGTGCTGTTGCCTACTCCAGATCCCAATGCCATCAGTTCTCCTGTGGTGTCCCCTGGTTACCCAGAGCCCCTCACCCCAAACCACAGCAGAACTGGCATTCTGGGGTGTTCTGCTGCCAGGTGGTCCAGATTTCTGGTGTCCAGTCGGGGATACACGGGCTCTAAAAGGAGCTGCACTTCCTCTTTCCTTGTTGTGGACCCTCAGATGCAGAAATCTGCCTCTCAAGTTTGTTTTCCTCTCCAAGTCAGGGTGGCTTTGTGCAGAGTTGTCAGACAACGCGCGGATGTGAACGTGTCCACCCTCACTCTAAACTTTGCCCTTTTACTAGTGCAAGCTGAAGATTTTACGGTTTTTAGCTGCTTCTCCATTGCAGTAGTCCACAAAGGGAGGGGAGTTTGACAGTTGTTGTAAAATGTTGCAGATTGTAGCCCATGTCCTGCCTAAATTACCATGATTGTTCATGAAAAGTACCTTTAATAAAGCTGGATACGGTTTGGCTTGGACTGTTCTTAATGCTCTCTAATTTCTCTTGCCTTTAGTTCACTTAATGTGGTTTAAGAACACTTGCTTTGTGCATGTCTGTGTTTGTGTTTGCATTCAAATTATTGTAATTCACACCTGAAAAGCAAGATTTCCTTACCTTAAAGCAAGGTTTCCTTGCCTAAAAGCTAGATCACTGCAGGATGTTTTTGGAGCCTTGGCTTACTTGGAGGCTGAAAATGGAAGATGTAAGCGAATCTGCTGAGATAATTTATTTTCTAAAATGTAGCACTGTACAGAACAGAGAGGAATACAGTGATCTTGTTGCAGAGAAAAGTAAAATTCTGGTGAGCTTTTCTTGGGAGTGAAACCAGAACTGGCTCCATAAAACTGATGATGTGTTACATTTCTGCACTTTAACTTGAATATTGTTGCTCCTGCTAATCGAATCCAGACCTGGCTGGGGTAGTGACTAAGCAGGAGACGAGATTTTTTGAGTAAAAATGCACCATTTTTATAATTGCTACTTGGACTCCAGAGCAGAGCCAAACCCAAACCCCCTGTGTAAATGTCTCCTTCAGTGACTGTCAGAAATATTTTTTCCATCTCTACTTGGCTTTCCCTGGGATTTCAGTGTCTGTTTGTGATTAAGTTCAGTGACCTGTTTCAACCTGTGCTGATTTCAGAGGGAATCCAGTGAAAACGAGCAGGGCAGAGTTTCACATCCAGAAATTTCCGATGCCGGGAGTGCTGGAAGTGTCCTGGAGCAGCTGCACGCACAAAAGGCAGTTTGGGATGTACCCCTAGGAACTGCTCCGTCCTGTGTTCCCATAGCTGGTATGTCTGACAGAAAAGAAATAATGGTGAATAATCCTGTTAATAATCTTCATTAAACCCTACCCAGAAACAGCCACCAAACCTCCTGAGCAGTCGCTGGAGTGGCTGGGCAGCGGGATATCACTGCAGAAAGGAAAATAACAATTAAATCTTAAAATCAGAAAGTTGGAAATAGCCTACCTTGATTTTGTAGAGTCTTACCTTGCTGGGCATCTACAAATGAACAACTCCTTCCAAAGGAGCTGGGTTTGAGGGGGCTGCCAGTGGCCAAGTTGCCAGCTGGAATGTTCTGGTGTTTCCTGTGTCCATCACCAGCTGGGTGACCTCTTCAGCCCCGCTCATTAAACAAAGTGCTGCTAATGAAGGGGGATCTCAGGGCTGCTCTTTGTTGAAGGAGTTACTCCTTAACTTCTCCATCTTCCCAACCCCCAGCAGCCTGTGCTGACCTGGGTGGTTCCTTGCAGGATGTTTTCTGCAGCCAGGCACAAAAACTGATTTTAAGCTGTGTCTGCCACCTAAATTCCTTTGAAAGCAGTGGGTATTTCGGGTGCTGAGGTTCCAGGGCTTGCTCCATCTGAGGTGCTTCCCACTGGATGAGCCCTGCGCTGCTGGAGTTATTGGCCTGTTGGGCTTGACTCGGCAGGCAGGGCTCATCTATTTCTCCTTAAGCAAATAAGAGACTGAGGGATGCTGAAGCCAGTAAATCCAACTAATTAGCTGTGTAAATTAAGGCAGGGAAGCAGGCGCTGAGCTACAGCCTGGTTCGTGGTTAGAGGCACCACAAATCTGCATCGCCGCCTGCCAGAACGCCTGAAGCTGAACAGGCATTTTTCTGCTAAATTGTAATCATTTTACACAGAAAATTGTCTCTTTTGTATCTGTTGGGAATGGGATTGGTGCTGCCAGGTGCAGTTAACGGGCTGGTCTGTCGGGTGGGCTCTGCAGCAGCGGGGATTTTGTCCTGCTGGAGCTTTGGGGACCATCACAGCCAGGGTCCAGAAAGTCACCACTGGCAACAGAAAGGCAAATGCGTTCTGTGCTCCATAGCAGGCCTTGAAGCTGGGCACCAGTATGGGTTAAATCCATGCAGTATTAGGACTCTGCCACTAATCTGTTTCTCCATTTATTGATTTTGGCACAAACTACCTGAGAAATAGTGCCAAACTGCTGTTGTCATTTATTTCCCTCTTAACAGGTGAAGTTGCAAAGAATGGCCAAGTTCTGCACAGGGCTGAAGCCTTTGGGTTGCTGGAAGTGGATACTGGGGCTGATCTTTGTTTTCCCAATACTTCAGGATTTTTCTGGGGTTTTAAGATCAGTGAAATTACTGATAAATTATAGAGCAGTCTCTGGATTCCCCCCAAAGCAGTGATAATTAAACTGAGAAGTTAATGTGAGCACGTTGCCAGCCTGTGCTCACTTCCCAATATCCTACAGAGCCACCTTTCCCCCAGCCATGGGTTTATGTTAAACTGAGAGTGGATTGGGCTAAAAACCATGAGAACAGGTGAACTGGACCATGCCAGGAGGATTCCCCAGGTCCCTGCTCCTCCCAGTACAGTGCCCTAGGATTAAGTTTTGAATTTTCCCCTGCAGCAGTTTTCCTTTTGCCTTCACAGAGCTCAGTTCTGTGTGGAAGAAGTGACAGTATCCTCCTGCCATCCCCTGCCACGGGTGGGCTGAAAGGGAACAAGGAAGGAAAATTGACTGAATTCAGTGAGTGCACCCAGAGGAGATTGAGTTGCAGGATCATTTTTGTCAGAAGAATCATGCAGCTTGATGGTACAGGGATTTCATTGTCCCTAAATCATCCCGGATATGGTAACACCATACCCAGGGACTAATATTGCTGACTATAATTCCTGAGAAATGGCAACTTCTCCTGCAGTTGGTGGAGATGAAATGGAGCTTGAGTTAAACTCACAATTTACAGAGGGAGCCCATCATTTGTAAGGGATGGGAAGGGGATGGCACGGGGGGAGCTGTGGAAAAGCTGATTGAGGCCAATAAAGATCTTTAATAAGTTGGCTTTAGAAGATTTCTGATGTGAGAGAATGGGCTTTTTAGAGACACTTTATTAAAAACTGCTTTATAATTTTTGTTTTTAGCATTTTAACTGTCTCCTTAGGAAGGGAACCAGAAAATCTATGATGTGCAAAAGAAACGGGAGTAGAAAATTTCAGGGAAAACTTTGTAAAGTTGAGGTTTTTAAAATGCATTAAAGCCTCCAAACAAAAACATTTTATTGCCTTGGGTACAGCAAACCAGCCTGGAGAAGGTACTTGGAGAACATAGAAGGAGCAGTCCAAGGGTGGCTGCAGCTGGCCCAGGTGTGGAATAGGTACCACAATTCTCTGCATTTTGCTGGACACTTAAACCCCAAATGAAATTTCTACTTTTCCCCTTCTAAAGAGATTTGATAGGAATTTATTTTTTTTCTCACTCAGTTATCCCACTGATGTTACTTTTGGATTTTGAACAAATTTCCCTGCAGGCAGCAGCTTTCCCCTGCTCTCGAGTTTGTTGGTTGCTGTGCAGAGGTGGGTGTATGTGGCAGTCTCCTCCTGGAGAGGAGTTACTATTAGATTACAATTAGTCTGGATTACTATTTTAGCATTGCCCAGACAGATTTTGTTTGCTTTTATTTCATTGAAGTGGTGTCTTGGTGCTTCCTGATGGAATTCAGTCTTGCCTCAGCACAAGAGCAGAACATTCCTGTATTAGGGGTTCTGAGTTTAACCCGAGGACTGATTGTAAACTTGGGCAATTAAATTAGCTTTTCTCATCATCTCCTTCTTACTGGAGACAATAGCAGAGGTTGTTCCTGTGCTGGGGCTGTTTGGTGGATGGGTTTTGTTGGCCTGCAGCCTGGCTGGAGGTGCCCAGGTTTCCCTGCCATACCATGATCCAATTAACTTCCATGCTGCCCAGCCCCACAGAGAAAAAATCCCTTGATACTGAATTAATTGCTCTTGCAAAAAATTTCCATGATTTCAGAGGCAAGCTGGATGTGAGGCACGTTGGCAGGGGAAGGTGGATTTGGCAACCTCCCGGTGCTCCTTCTGTGGACGCAGGGATCCGCGCGGGGCTTGTTAGCTCATTAACACGCGGTGATTAGCAGCCTGTTCCTTCCCTTGGCCACACGGTGGTACCAGGAAACACGGAATGGGGCTGGCAGGCCAGCGAGTGGCAGGCAGCGTCCAAAAGCAGCTCAGCAGCCCGGGGTTCTCACAGTCTAATGGGAGTTATTGCTTCTAGAAAGCAGAAGCAGCGCTGCCCCAGCAGCCTCCATCCTCTGCCACCGTCAGAGATCAGTGCTGGACAAACTCCACTCAGCCGAGCAGTGGGAGCCCCTTCTGAGCCTCTGCCCAGTTTTTGTTATGATTTTACTCAAAATCCAGACTGGGTGCTCATTCCTCGTCGGTTTACAGGCATAGCTGGCATTGCAAAGGAATTTATCTGTGTTATATCGAGCCTTTGAACTTAGGCTTCCCATATTCTATTTTAAGAATCACTGGACCGTTCCTTTTCCTCCTCAGGCCATTATCGCAGCTGCCGTGGCACATGTCCTGAAAGTTTGAGCCTAAAACTAGAGCTGCCGCTCTTCAGCTCATCTGTCCTCAGCTTGGGAAGGGATACTTTATCCTAAACCCAGATTTAAATAGGTAGCCTATAAGCCTGGTCTCTTTTAGGCTTGCTGGCACAAACTGCTTATATCAGACTTGCTGAATCTTCAACCTGAGATCACAGAATAAGTGGTGATGTTCATAGAAGTAATACTTTAGTTCTTGGAAAGTCTCCTGTGCTTTTTGTGTTACTTCATTTTGCTTTTGTATTCTAGTATTGGAGTGTGTGCTTTTGCTCTGCAAGCCAAATCTAGGAAATTGAGTTGTAACATCTGTGCTAATCTCCTTAGAGTCTAAGCAAAGTGATTCTTCTGATGCTGTAAAACTCTGGGCTCTCTCTGCCAGCCAGCAACTTTTACCTGCATTGTATTAAAGAGTCCCAGAATGATATCCTGTGAGCTGTATTGTGCTTAAGCAATGCCCCCAGTTGCTGGTCTTCCTTCACCTTTCCCACTCCCAAAAGCCTTAGTCGTTGGGTTATCTCCTTCTAGCACATGCTTTCCATGTTTATCTTTTCCAAGGACGGTGTTGAAAGCTGGGAAGGAAGTGGCTGCTTCCCAGAGCT